AGGGAGGCAAAATAGTAGAAAAAGCAAGTTCAAAAAGGGAAGCCTGAAGAAAGGACTACCATTTAAGCCGCAGCTTTTCCGAGCAGGGCATATTCTCACCGGGGGCGTGGTCCCACTAGCAAAGAGGATCGGATCGAATGCCTGAATCTGGACGAGTTTATGGAGATGTGCAGGAAATCGAGATTGAACTRCTTTTCTGCATYTSTGCTTWAAACACATCCAGATTCAGGAGCTCGATCCTATCCTTTTTGCTAGTGGGACCTCGGGCCAGTGCTTTCCTCGACATATCGGATCGTAATAACAGCCAGCATTTCTTTTTTTTTTCTTTTTTTCTTTTTTTTTCTTTTTCTTTTTCCCTCCCCTCTTCGACCCTTTGTGTCAAAATTTATGCGTGTCGTATCCTTGGATGCACAGGGGCCATGCTAATCTTGTCTAGGTTCTGTGTATCGTTCCAGTTTGAATGATTGTCCCAAAGGACACAGCCAGCATTTCACGTTTTCCCTTTCCTCCAACACCACCATCTTCACCCGAATAGAACGCCCGGTTTTATATAGCCGTATTTGGAGCAACTTTCCGTCTATATGCAGCGATAATGACCAAAGGGCGTTCTATTCGGGTGAAGACGGCAGTATGACGTGGCAAGAAGCGCAAGCACGTAGCATTCGGATCAAGCCCTACAGCTCGATCGATGACGAGGCATTCAGGTTGATCCAGATGCCACGTCATGCATTTAGATGATTGGTGTGGTGTCACGTCGTCCTGGATTCAGATGATGTGTGCCACGTCATCGATTCGGATTATTTATGCGACGTGGCATTGAGATCAAGCCACGTGGCATGATGAGGGGGCACCAATCATCAGCAGGATGGTCGCCACGTGGCATGATGATGGGGGGTGTGCGACGTGGCATTCAGATCAAGCATGCTATCCATAGCTCGCTACGGTATGGTCAATTACGTGGCATGATTGAAACGTGGCATGTTGGCAATGGTCCCCACGCGGCATGACGACGTGGTTGCCACGTGGCAGGATCATATCGTGTGATATCGAGATGGGGTAATGTGCTAGATGGGTTGTGATCAGAACGATGAGAGATCATCACGTTGTAAGCTGCGGCAGAAGACGACGTTGCAGATGAGCTGCAGCAGGAGCGCTGCTGAGAGAGCAACCCCTTCCTCTCCTACCTCTCCTACCTCTCCTAGCTCTCCTCCCTCTCCTCCCTCTCCTCCCTCTCCTCCCTCTCTTCCCTCTCCTCCTTTAGATCGCCCTCAAGACAAGAAGCAGACGCCTCGACAAGCACATATTAATATGTGTATATCTATACATCAATAAGTTAATCTGTTGTCCTCTTCTCCCTCTCTGCCTGCGGTTTACCGCAGGCAGTTCTTTTTGACGATATATATATATCGTCATATATATATATACGATATATATATATATATATATATATATATATCCCTCGTTTGTTGTCCTCTTCTCTCTCTCTGCCTACGGTTTACCGGGCAGTTCTATTTGTGACGATATATATATATATATATATACGGTTTACCGGGCAGTTCTGTTTGTGACGATATATATATATATATATATATCTGTCTATCTGATGAGTCGGTGAAACTAACTATGACGAAACGGTCACCTTGTCACAGCCCCTCTGTTTGTTGTCCTCCTCCTCTCCCTCCCTCTCTGCCTCCGGTTGACACAAGTCATTTTTCTTGCGTTTTCTTCTTACTTAAGTCGGACTTCCACGCAGTTTCGACTTGTGTGCTCGCTCGCCTTTAAGATCATCCAACCTTGGAAGGCAACGTTAAGGTCAACTGCTCGTTTGCCTGGACGTCAACAGCAATACGAGAAGGATTCAATCGTTAGTGAATTATAATTAATTATAGTTAATGATTGTTATAAGTACTATAATTAATTACTATTTATACACGTCGTTGAGAACTTGACACACACGAGAAGGATTGGAAGTGCAAAACGAGAAAAGAAAAAGGTCAATTGACCTTCTTCTCCACGTCATCGAATTGACGAATTACCACAGTAACAAATTCCTCGTCGACGTAAAAAAGTCAACGTCATCGAGTTCCACGTCAGCATCCACGTCAGGATGCACGTCAGCATGCACGTCAGCATGCACATGAGCATGCACGTCAACACGACGTCGTTGACAACGTAGGTAGACAGCAGCGTAGGCCCATCTGTTTTTTGTTTTTTTTTTTTAACTTTTTTTGTATTTTGTTCGTTTTTTCCTTCGAATTATTTTTATTTTCTTTCAGTTACTGCTTTGTTTCCTCATAGATCGTGTTGTGTGCATTCTGACGTCGGACGTCGGTGTCTTATCTTATATGTCTCTCATTGGACTTGAGAATGCGATATCGGATGAGATCTCTCTCGGAATGAAATACCGATCAGACGTCAGTGGATGACGCGTCATCGGATGCGATCCCGATGAGACACCGATGAGGGGATACCGATGAGAGGGGATATCGATGAGAGGGGATATCGATGAGATACCCCTACAGAATGCAATATCGGATGAGATCTCTCGGACGAGATACCGATCAGACGGCAGTCGACTACGCGTCATTGGGATGCGATGCCGATGAGATATTGATGAGATATCGATGAGGGAATAGCGATGAGATATCGATGAGGGAATCGCGATGAGATATCGACGAGGGGATACCGATGAGGAGATACAGGTGAGTTAGGGGTGAGATGCCGTCAGAATGCGATATACAGGATGAGATCTCTCGACTGAGATACCGATCGGACGTCAGTGGATGACGCCTCGTCCGATGAGATACCGATGAAATAACGGGGAGATGCTGATGAGGAGATACCGATGAGCTACCGACGAAGGCAAGCAGTCTCAGCTCAGTCTTCCTCTTCCTCTCCTCTTCCTCTTCTTCCTCCTCTTCCTCCTCTTCCTCCTCTTCCTCCTCTTCCTCCTCACCATCACCATTATCAGCATTAGTATAATAGGCATCTGATATCTTTTGTAGTCGTTTATTGCTTCGTCGACTATTCGTCGAGTACTCGTTGAGTCTTCGTCGAGTATTCGTTGAGTATTCGTCGAGTATTCGACGAGTGCTCCACGAGTGAGAGTTCCAACTTCTCGAAGGATCAAGTTGCAAGTTAACTTTTATGTGCTGTTCTCAGTTCGGTGAAATCGGCGTTTTCGGAAGCTTCACTGTATCTTCACGGGAAGCTTCTTTGAATCTTCGCTCTCATGGATTTGTGTGGGGAAATGCATCGGCTTCTCGGCCAATGGATTCATCGTCATGGGTGTTTTTCGCAGACGGCTCGCAGGCGGCTGCTGACCGGCCGAGGTGCTCATGGCTATGGCTCAGCACCGGCGACGACGCGCATGGCAGCGAGCGACAGCGCTTGGCATACCACGGAACAGCCTACAGCCTTCTTCTCCAGAAGTGTAAGCACCTTGTCCGGCGCTGCAAGTCTCAAGAAGCTCTCACAGACCCGGAGCAGGTACCCCTCTCTCTCTCTCTCTCTCTCTCTCTCTCTCTCTCTCTCTCTCTCTCTCTCTCTCTCTCTCTCTCTCTCTCTCTCTCTCTCTCTCT